TTCTTTTAAATCGTTGCGTTCAAACTAACAAATTGGGAAAGACAGTTGAAACGGCAAGTGGCGTGATTTGGACAGATCGCACTCCTATTAAATCCACTTATGTCGACAGGGTAACAAATTAAACAATGCCTATCATGAGGGACACTTCCATCCAGATCCAGCTCACGACTTTTTTATTTATTTTTTTTTCACGAGCGAATCTAGCTTTTAGTTTTTAAGGGTAGCAATCTATTTTATGTAGCTTTCATTCTTTAACTGTATATATTTTTATAAGTCTTAAACCTATTTAATTATTACTACTGTAAAGCTTTTAAATTAAACACAATGACTCTTTCACATGGCAATTTATTCCCATTGTTACATATTTTATATATTTATTGGCTTAATAAATCTTTAACAAAATACTAGAGTCCGTCTGGACAAAGCGCGGACAAAGCATCATTTCATTCTATGTAATGTGACGTAGACTCTTATTTCTTTAACTATATAGATCTTATTTGGGAAATGATGAAATCGACATTTCAGAAAATATGTTTTACATTTTAATTCCCAAATTGCGGGAAAAAAGTTAGAAGAAAGAAAAGAAAGTTCTCCCTCCGTTCCACAATGGTTATATCATATGGCAAAAGTCTAGTTTTTGAATCAGTAGCATTTTACATTTGATTTCAATTGGCCAAAAACATTTGCAGAATAATTTTAAAGGTATGTTAATTGAGAGCTGCAGTTGTAATATAAATAAATAAATAAATAAATAAATAAATAAATAAATAAATCGCCAGGTTGTCAGGGCCTTTTTTTACTATTCTTTAGTTTACTCAATGAAACAGTATCATGTTATCTTTTCTCTATTCACTAAGCAAATAAAGTTACAGTGCTAGACCATATTAACCAATATGATTTCGGTTATAAAAGATTTTTTCGTAACATGTACATTTCACCTTCCTGCACTGTTCAGTCTGGGTGGTTTGCGTGGTGCACTGTGCTGCTCATTGCGGTAGATGTGCAACAGGCACTGGTTGTGACAGCGGATGTGCCAGTTGAATCTTTTTGAATGCTTTTACTTTCAGGCAGTTGTCACACACTGGTTTCAGATATAAATAAAAATTCGATTACTATTTTTATTTTGTACTTTTTGGTAAAAAGCCGGGGCAGTTACCCAAAGCAACAACTTTTCAAAGACTTTAACTGGTCACCTTTCAAATATATCATGGACATAAAAAAGGTATGGTATTCCAATAACACATTGGATTAAATTCTAGCAACATAAAAAAAAAATAATACGCCATTTGTGACAGATGTAACTATGTAAACTAGATAGGTGTTCAAAGGAAATAAATACCTCCACCCACCCACCCACCCTCACCCTCCAACTAGTAAACACGGTTCAGGGTGTATTTCAGGAGTCGGGGCAGATTTTCCATGTACCCTTTCTTTACAGATATCACTTTGATTCAATTCATTTTATCATTGTATTGGCGCATACATATCAGTGGCGGATTTACAAGGGGGAGGGGGGGGGTAGACACTTTTGGACTTGTAGAATATCGTGTATCGTATGTGACTCCGAATATTTGCACGGCTTTGAGCATATGAAGGTATCACCACCGAGTTTATTGAACATTCGTGAACAGTTTCAGTAACAACCTCTCACCTAAAACGAGCTATACCTGTTGTAATTTGCATAACAAAAGTTGTTCTTCGTAGTGAGAGCTTTCTTCCCGAATGCTCACTTGGCAGTTAGACAGAGTCGGGTGTAGACGCAACAGTATGTGTGGTGCAGTCAGAAAGTCGAGCTTTTACAAGGCGTGGAAGCAAATGTATATTTATGTGAGTATCAATATTTCTTCATCAACCACAGCCATTAAATACTAAAGGCGCAAAAGAATGAGAAAATATTTACGGCAAATATTTATGACATGAATCCTTATACTATATTTCCATTGATACTTGTATGTCACTTGAATGGTAGAAATTATTGCTTACACTGTATTTGGACTCCAAATGTTCAGAATAAACGGCGCATTCGTCTGACTTTTGATGATAACCTAACTTTGCTTGAAATCCTCTGCATTTTGAAACCCTTTGTTTGAACATTTCGTGAGCCCCGGCCTTGACAATTAATTTTGAATATTTTGACCTAATTAAAAAAACTCGTGTGTGTATAAATGTAAGTATTAACACCCAAATTAATTACTTGGATGGTGCTTGTCACCGTTCTGAGCTTTTGATCAAAGCATTTCGAGTGTTCATATACATATTTGACAGATACATATTTTACACAGCCTGTCGTCTCCATATCATTGTGCTGTTTAGTTCGAAGTTGTAAACATTGTTTTATCTTTTCAGGTGCTCAATGTGATTCTGCACAGCATCCGCCTGAAAGCAACCTTTGAAGTTTAGCCTTTGTTTCACACACAAGAACCCACGCTCCTTCGTATATATATATTATTATGAAAACTCAATAAAAAAAACTTTTGTAATATGGCGTTTTATTTTTCACTTTTTATGAAATTATTATAATAAGGATGGTAGTAATAAATGATGGAAAACGAGTTATTTTTAGTGTTTGATGATTCAATCTGATCTGTAAATAATGTAAATGATTTTGTGGCTGGCGGTTTTCTGTGGTACCTAAATTTTAAGTAGTTGTAAAATGACCAGTATTTTTTAAATAACCCTTCCAAGCTGTTTTAGCACACTGAAATAAAATATCTAAAATGGTTTTTAAAAGATTCACATGAGATTTTTGTTCTATAGGATATGGAACTAATTCGTTTGGATACAATTTTCCTATATTTTCTTATATGGGGAGAGTTCAATTTTGACGGATTTTGGCTTTTGCTATCATAAATTGTTTTAATTTGGCGGCTTGTTCTTAGTATAAATACTTTTATGATACTTGAACATAATAATGAAAATGTGGGATGATTCTTATGTAAGCTTAAATCAAGTTGGTTTTTTAATGAATACGACTGAAATTGGCCAAAATTTTGATTTCTGAGAGTAAAACGGAACAAATTCTTCAGTTCCTGTTCTCTGAACCAAATTTGGATAATAACAAGATGCGCCCCACCTGTCACCCCTCTAATGCAATGGACTCGCCCCACCTGTCACCCCGCTAATGCAATGGACTCGCCCCACCTGTCACCCCGCTAAT